GTCACATGACACAGCTGTCGTGGTGTTGGGGTGTGATCAACACGTATCTAGTGACGTCGGAAAATACGTGTCAGTAGTAGTCGTACTTTGTAGCTAGAGTAGGTAGGATAATTTAATTTAATATAATTGTACGTGGCTCATAAAATACCACTCGCACCAAACATGCAGAGTAGCGAATTTACATTTGCCTGATTGGATTTATACAGAACAATTTTTTAAACACGACTTATTTATTCCCCATTTAAATCACATAAGATTAAATGAGTTGCCTACTTATGTTTGTTGCTACGGGAGAGGGAAAAAGTTTGTTTCATCAAATTTTAACAGTGAATGATGAAATAAGTAAATTTGCCAAATTTGATTCAAAAAAATACATACAAAAAAAAGCAAACTATTCCAGTTTTCTTTTTCTCTGTAACGTTATTTGTACAACAATGCTTCAATCTACACAATTGTTTGTTTATTTTAGCTCTACACTATGGTTGTAATTAAAACTGGGCAAGGTTTATGGGGTAAGAATATGAAAAAAAACTAATTTTGAAAATTTAAAACCCCCGTAACACTTGTTCCCATGACTCAGATCTTGCTAGTTCGCAAATCCATTCAAGTTTATGCCACCCTCCAAATTTTATACAAATCGGACCAAAATTAAAGTTATCGTCCTCTCGGACACAAGTGTGTATGAAAGTTTACATACTTAAACATTTAAACGCGAATAGCGTGATGTTTTGGCCTCTGGAGACATCAAAATGAAAAAGTAAAACGGTCCTGGGTCTTACAATGAGACCTACGGCAATAGCTTCCTTATAGGGAAATCCGCTAAAAATCAAGATAATTGACAGATTTATCACCAGTTAATTTTATTAGACAAAAAGATACCTGCAAGTGTTTACAAAAGGTGCAAAACCGCATCTGTACTAGTTGAGTCAGTAGGTGAGTGAGGCACGACTGTAGATCACTTTTACCGTTCCAGTTGCCGGTTACCACGTCTCTCTTCGGTTACTGAACCGTCGTAACCGGTGACTTGACCTTCTCACTTCATGAGAACACATTATCAGAGAATATCCTGTATGTAATTGTAGCATGACTAAATGAGGCAATTCTTAAATTAAAGTGTACTAAAAACATCTGTTTTCAGGTATGAAACTACCCAGTGTTCCCGACCCGTAAGTGAGTAAGATAGGATCTATGAACCATAAAATAACAGTAGGATATATATGTATGTTGTACTTAGGGATCCAATAAGGCGTCTTATGGGAATGGATCCCCAAACATTCGGGATCCGTCCCCCCACCACTCTACCATCCAGGATCCCCCACCACCATCAAAGCAACGATGATATCAATGAGACTAGGATACTGATGTTTATTTGGGGGCTTACGTTCCTAAAAATCCCCCCATCGTTCGAAAATAATTAATTAACGATCAAGGTATTAACGATTATAGGCTAGGATATTGATGTTTATTCGGGGGCTTGCGTTCTTAAAAATCCCCCCCCCCCACCCCATCGTTCGAAAATAATTAATTAACGATCAAGGTATTAACGATCATAGGCTAAGATATTTATGTATTCATCCTAATCTGGGAGTTTATATAGGCTCTTATAGGAAAGACCTTTCTAAAAACCTTGGAGTTAACCCCATCGCTCGAAAATAATTAACGATCAAGGTATCAATTATCATGGACCTAAAAAAAATATAAAGGGACAAAAAATTGTAGTTCTGATGATGTCTTATAATTAAAATAGTTTAGCTAATTCATACATTGTTAATAAATGGACATTTGTTAGTAAATGTTTTACTTTATCAATTTATTTTATAAGTTTTTTAGTAAACGTAGTATCAGGAGTGTAGGGTTAGACAACTGCTTTGGAAATTAATTTTGATGTGTGTTGGATTTAAACACACCTGTTGTTCATTTACTACTTGAAGTGAAGACCAACTAGCTCTTTGTGTATATTTCTGTTGAATTTTTGTTATAACCTATTGACATTGCTGAAAGGCTACTCATATTCAGTGTCCATAATCAATTAAATGCTATTGTAGCTGGTTTTCTTCACAATTTCTGAGTTAAACATTAAGGTTTTTAATGCTTATGATATATTAAGTGATTCCGGAGTCTGCGATGTTTTACCTGTATCAGGCGAGCAGAAGTGGTCAGCAAACTGGTTTTACGGCAAACACTCGAGTCTCTTGTAGTAATTTTTGTACCAGGATGAGAGTTTACAAACGTATTTCAACGTGTTATCCATACAAGGAGCTCCAAATTGCTTAAAATAATAACTGAAGTTCTATTAGAATATGTGAAAAAAACACCACGTTAAGAGTTATTTTGTGAACGGATGTAGTTACGCCCTTAACAGACCATATGTCAATCAAAGGTTTTATACAGAGTTTTTCAAAATTTGAATTTAATATTGGCCGTCTTCCTGTGTTGGTAGTGATATTTTCATTATATTGCTGGTTCAAACTGCATCTCTGCCTGTATCAGGGGAGAAGAGGCGAGCAGCAAACTGGTTCAGCAAACACTGGTGCTCTTACCACAACATTATTACTTTGATGTTCAAAAGTGATCAAATTCATAGCGGTTTTGTGGAGGTGGTGTTCTGCTATAATAATGTTAGTGTTCAAATTACCAACATCAGTGACTCAGCTATTGCGAGTAACCAAAATAGTCATCTGTGTTGAACGAACTACCAGTTCTGATAACCCACCTAGGAAACCAAAAAGTGTAAAGTTATAATGTCTAGCTTGTGATATCATGCCAGAGTCAAAAGGAGAACCAGGCAGAATTGTATGTAATTCAATATATGATATATATGTAATATATTCAATATATGTCTGTTTGATGAAATATATGAACAAATGGTGTGAGTTACTTTTTCAACGACAATGCTAATAAGACAACCCAGTCCACAACCTTGGTGGTTTGATGTATGTTTATGGATATTTATGCAAAACCGAGTTCAATTTTGTATACTTGAACATACAGAACAGAACAGAACATACTTGAACAGATTTGTATACGCACAAACTGGTTCACACTGCGTCTGCCTGTATCGGGAGAGTAGTACTCAAACTGGTTCAGTAAAAACACCAATGCTTGATTTATTTGCCTTGCACCATTCCCAATGTAATCAAGCTTACATCTTTACCTACTTTTATTGTGTTGGTATAGCAGTGTCAATAAACGCCCAATGTTTCTACAGTGGTATTTTAGATGATACACATCCTTAATTGTTTCAAATGCCCAAGTTTCCTTAATGTCAGATTCGTGCGTATCCAATATGTTGTAAAAAGAACTCCTTGTATTATCAGTTCTGATATGTATCATGTGTATGAAGTCAAAATGGAGTTGCATAGACGAAGTTTAGATTCTATATGAGTTCTTAGATTGTTACATTGACTTTGAGGTGGAAAATTGAAACAACACCATATCACAAGTATCCTTTCCTGTACATGATCAACACATGTAACTTTAAAGGTAATGTTTAAACAAGCGTAATGGGAAATCCTAGGTTCAAGCTGGGGGTTTGAGATTTTGGGATAGAATAACAGCTATTTGAAAAAAAAAACTATTTATTTGAATCTAACAAGTTTTAAACAATAGTATCTTCATTACAAATAAACATTGTATCATTTAAGGAAAAATGATCAAAAGTTAAACAATCAATTGAGATGCCTGAGAATCCCTCTCTCAAACGATAGTCGATCTCGTCACTGTCGAAACCAGTTTTAGACTATGGTCCCTCAGTTGTGTCTATGTTGCTGGGCCAGACTCGTGATCACATGAAAACAGAGTGAAAAACATTTGCATTTAATATGTATAATCCAGTACTTGAATGCAAAAAGTCTATCATATCAACAATGTTTTGCTTATGAAATATATGTTTTCCAATACTCGAGCATACAACAATGTCATTGGTGTTATTGATAAATGAGTTTTGTTGCTTCAGACAATTCATTTCAGATTATAAAATTGAACAAGTAAATGTGATAATGAACCATTGGTTTAAAACACCTTAGACCATAGACCAACACAAGTAGACTTCATTGTCAATTTTGAAGCTCTTTTTATGTTTAGTTCACGTCCGGTGATTGCTAGTGTTGACGATATTTTTTTCTATCATGGTTAACTATATGTTTTACCGTTTGGTTATATAAATAAGGTATGAGTCATTGTTTTTGATTAGATCATTTGAAGATTGAAAATGTTTGAAATAACAATGAAGGAATTGTAAAAACCACGACATCTGCATTGTGAGGGACATAACTAAATAACTTCTTGATCAGCATTGTACGTGTTATTAAATTTACGGAAACTAAATAAAAGAAACGTCTTATAACACTTAAAAAATATATTTACGCTTATACTGTTACTCACAAGACGGTAAATATACATAACTAACATAAAAAATGGCTTTAGTTGTTCGAGGAATCTACTAATTTAGTATGTTTTATCTATGGTAAATAAGAGCATTCTAGATTCATTTGTTAATATATTATCATAATGGCTTTGGTTGATGTTTGGATTTTTGTCCTTGCGAAAAAAAAATGTTTAAGGCTCATACAAGTTGTCAAAACTATCCTTATGTGTTTGTTGAGTAAACTATTTTAGTTCTTATTTCAATGTGTTGTTGATTGAGAGTTTGGTTTTGATGTTTAACCTGCGTTTTAGTCTATATTAACACACAAAAAAGTAACAGCGGCCCTAGGGATCGTTTCCTCCCCATACCCAAGAGGTAGATCCGATATGGGCGTTAGCTTATACAGGGTGTCTTTTTAAATGTTTATTCCATATTCTCAATTCAAAAAGTTGAAGTTAAGAAAACATAAACAGTTGGTCAAAGTGTCTTACTTGAATGGAAAAAAAAACACCTTGTATTACGTGGATCGCCTTTCAGCCCTAGCCACGACTTTTTTAATGTGGTTTATATCCACTGCTGTTACTTTACAATCATAGATACATAAAAAACATATTGTACATTATGTGTTTTACACCTAAACAGTTAGTTTTCTTCTTTTCAATGGTGGTTCCTCCTGAAGTCGATAATGGCCGTATGGAAGAGTGTTGATTTTGTCTGGTAGAATGTATCTCTTGTCATCGTCAGCACTCAAAGTCACTTTGTTTATGGCAACAGTTGAAACGATATGCTTCTTCGATGAGATGATGTTGTTTATAGTGTAGGTAGACTCACGAGAATACAGACACTGGACGTAGTCTTCAAATTTTATCTTATTTTTCACAACAGATTTTTTGATTCCTTTGACTTTTTTGATGGAACTGTCTCTCTTGTCTATAGCGTACACCTTACTTCGTAGTCCTACAAAGGCTTTCATCACTTCACCACCTAATTCATCCTTAAACTTCCCAAGAACTTTTTTATTTTCCTCTGAAAACAGAGGATGGTCCTTGGGATAGTTGCTGGTGTCAAGATGAGTTTGAATCAATTTTAAGTCTTCATATAAATCTACTGTCTCAATCTCAAGAAAATAAGAGTCGGTATCCTGGTAGCAAAGTTTCACTCTGTCTCCGTAAAATGGCTTCAATACGTCGTAATAAAAGTCATACATTCGCACTTTACTTAAATCTAATATACTCATACCAATATAAATTGGTTTGTTCAATACAATCTTTGTCTTTCCCATGTGAATGCCTACTAAGTTTTCATTGTAGACGGTTCGATCGATAAAGTTGGGCTTTGAAATAAGTTTCTCAGCCTTTTTCGGATCTGACACTAACCTTATATCGAGTCTGTTTCGAACCTGTTCCATCGTCTTCCCATATATCGCATTGGACATCAATTTGTAAAAGTCTTTCTCGAATTCGTTGCATGCATTTTTTCTCTTTTCAGTGTTTAGATTAATGAAAGGTTTGAGCCAGTCTTTTTGTTTGAATTGAATTGCACGATGAATCTTTTTCAACTTCAATCCATGACTCAATGCTTGTTTTAGAGCTACATAATGTATCACATATTTTTCTTTGTCTTCAACTGTCGTTAAAAGTTTCTTATGTACACCTCCAGGTGGCACTTTTGTCTCTGCACAGAAAGGTAGATCAGCATGGTCATCGTGTAGTGTTTGTGGATATTCCAGGTCAACCTCAAGTATATATCCCTCGTCAGCGTCGTCGGGTATGGACTCAACATCAATTTCTAAATCATCACACCACTTGAGCCCAGCATAAGGGATATGACGACTTAATGCTTCCCCATATAAGTTATTTGCGTCAAGATAGATTAAATACTTGCTGGGCACATTAGGGTCTTTTGATATATACTTGTTGTTGGCTACGGCGTGACGTTTGATACACTGTGTGATCCCGCCTCGAATTCCCTTCTCGACCATCAAAAACATGTCCATGTCCTTAATGATTTCGAGTTGAATGCCTGTATATTTCAACATTGCATCCCATGCCAGTCCTGGTGTAGTAAAGTAGTAGGCAGGGTCTAAGTTGTAAGTCAATAGACAGGTTTTGCGGAAATTTTCAAATGCATCACACAGGATCAAGACGTCACATTTTACATAAATGTCAGAATACTCTCCTAATGTTTTTATATTGAATGTTATCCACACGTTTTCCGCATGACTGTAGTCTTCATCGCTTATCTCCTCTTCACTTAGTCTACTGTAAAATGCAGACTTTGGTGGAAGTTGTCTTTCTTCGAGTTTGTCGAATGAAGTCATGTAGTCATAGCAGAATATTCCTTTTTTTGTTAACATTTCGGTATTTTCAGGAAAATGTCTTTTTGTTTCAATAAAATCAGGTTTTGGTAGGTTATTTGCCAAGTTGCTGAGACTATCCTGCATAAATCTATAGGAATCTAAAAATCTCAATTCCATCACATTATTTTTGGCATGTTTGACTTTAACCATTTTTGAAAATGAGATGTATTTTTCTTCAGTGTTGGGTATAACTTTAATTTCATTTGTGTCATAGCCCAGTTCTCTGACGATAAAATGAGAGTCGTATCCTGACAGGTTGTGGATAAAGCAGGGCACAAAATGTTGATCTTGATAAAACAGATTGCAGTGTCTATGGGTGACTCCAAGATATTTCCCACTGATATGACAATGATTTCTTACCTTGCAGTTTTCCTGGGTAAAGTTTCCTTTGTTACAAACATGACAAGCAGTAGCAGCATCGAAGTCTTCTTGTTCCTTCTGCATAAGCTTAGGTACTTGAAGCTTCTTGTCGCCAAACAAAATCTTGTCTATAAATTGTATATCATCGTTCATGCTTTTTACAAAATGTTTGGCAGCGTCCTGTCCTCGATACACTCGCAGTTGTGTATGCTGATCCTCTGAGTCTTTTAACAAGTATGCATAGCTATAAGGTGTATGATGCTGATATGCACTTGTCCAAGATGTTTCTGGGTCACCATCACAAGCATGAACTGGTTGCAGTAGTGTTTCAAAGTCAGCATATATCACAAACCTAACTTTCTTTGAACGATGGTCATTTGTAAACGAAATGGTGTCGTAGGATGGAAATTCACATCGCTGAACTTTCGGACATTCAAGTTGATGAGCAATCAATTTTTCCTCAGCAGTTTTGTCATAGTAATCGTTAAAATGGGCAAAACAACGCTTACAAACCTTGATTTTACCGCAGTTGTTTGTAAATTGGGAATGAACTAATCTATTAAAATCGGTTATTAGGCAATAATGTGATGTATTGAGATCAGTAATGTACAATAAATCGAAGTGATTTTCCTTCTCTTCTTCACAAACCTTTAACGGGTAAACGTCAGCCTGTTCGGTTAGTCCAAATACGTTTACAGAAACACTGTTTGTTTTTTCGAAATGTTTGATCTCATCGAGTTTCACTGGGAATGAGATGCAGTTCCAATCATATTTATCTTCAAGTTCTTTGTTATTTATGTATTGGGACACTATCCAGGGTTCTTTGGTGACATGTTTTGACAGAATCGCGTACTTGAAACAAAAGTCATCAGAATTTCTAATGTTTATCACAGCTTTCCTATCAGAAATTCGTTTCGGAAGTTGAATGTGACGTGAGCCTCGCAAAGGGTTGTATCGATTGATCCTCAGCTCAACTCGTTTCACCTTACTAAAGGTCCATCCCGATTTCTTCATTTCACATTCACTTTTTTCCGTTCTCAAATTCTCAAACGCATCTTCAAGCATAGGATTTAAATCAGTAGTTTTATAAACGATAATGTTTTTTGTTTTAAAACTCCGTTCACAATTATCCCCAGCTATGTTTGTGAATTCAGATTCAACAAAGATGTTAAACTTAACAGCTGAGTAGGTGAGTAGAATAAATTGAATCTTTTCCACTATTGACAGTTTGAATTTCTTTAAAGCTGTATCAAGATCGCTAGAGTCTGGTTGAGCTACAAAAGTTTTGATTCTGCCTTTTAATGCTTTGTCAACCTCAACAAATGGTGACTCGTTTTCTTCATGTATTACTTTATTTTTTTGTAGAGCCTTGCCTCGACATGCAAATTTTTCGTGCTCTGTCAAGTGCAATCTTCTTCCAAACGCCTTTTTACAATCTTTACATACGTATTGTTTTTCCTCGACGTGAGATCGAAGGTGGCGCAGCATGTTATTACGTCGCGTAAAAGTCTTATCACAAATAGAGCAGGAGAACATAATGCTGAAATTCTGGTTAAGGAAAATCCAAATACACCTGCAAGTTTGTATGTATTTTCTAAGGACTAGATTCGATAAAAATGCAGAAGTCACTTAAAAATATGCCCTAAAATATTGTATTTTTAGGCTTTTAAAAGGATAAAGCTGAAAAGGTTAACATACAACACAATATAAAAACCCCACATAATAGCTAAAACGAAGTTCAATTTACAATTCATAAAAATGCTCCCTAAGATCATAGTAATAAAAAAATACTTAGGTTTTCTGCTACATAGGTGGGGTTTTTTTTTAATAGAAATGTTGATACATAAAACAATCAAATCTGCCAAATGTAATTGAAATATATCCATAAACATTGATTCATCCTCAGTTTACACTTTTTTTATTTTATCTGTAACTAGCTCATCAGTTTACTAAATTACTTTTAAGAAAGCTAGGTTTGAAAGAAATTGAGTAATTTAATGGGGATGGGATTAATTTCTACCACACAAAACCAGTTAGTCTGCACAAACTCATTCAAATAGATGTATACATTTGTAAGAATTTCATCAAATTATGATAATGTTTACTCGAGTTATCATACTAATGGACTCATACAAACAGTGTCTTGATCTCTAACAAACTTAACATGTCAAACTTAATCCTACGTAAAATAATTCAGCAATCGAATGTTTCCTGGAAAAGTTGTTGTCCTCAAAAACCACTGACACAAATTAATTGTCATCACACAGTACTAGTTTATGAGTTTTTAATTTATGTTTTTTTTTATAGTTGTATTATATAAATTTAAAAAAATATAATACTAAGTGCATTTGGCAACAAATCAATGAATAATAGTCTTTATTCAATAAAAAATATTTTTAACGAAAAATCTCAGATGGAGAAAGAACTTTTTTAATCTTATATACTAAGACACTATTGCAAAACTAATGACAGCTAGTGTGCCCATACTATTAGACTGAATTACATGTTGTTGGTACAAAATTGAAGATACTACCTGTAGATGTGCTGAATCTCTTTAGGCTAAAAAATAAGCGCAAAAATTAATTTGAAATAAAAAATAACATGGGTCTTATGGGTTGTGACATTGGTGATACGGTAACAACAAAATATAAACAAAAAATCAAATAATAAATTCCAATTACACGTTTTATTTACAGCATGGGTTGAAAATAGAGAAGTTTGCACAATACTTATAGTCGAGTCTTCAACCACATCGCCTTGTAATATGCATTGCTATAAATAACAGCGTGGTTTAAAATTGTGAGTGTATGAGAGTCTCGCGTCAAATTTATCGGAGATTTTGAAATGGTAGCCACTATTGAGTGTATTGTAGAGTTTTTGAAGAAACTTTTGTTTATGTAATATTTTCTGCTGTAATTTGATCACAGATATTAATTTAACAGCTACCATCTTAATGGAATGTGTCATTCAGAAACTGTATACATTAAATAAAATGGGGTGAATCTAAAAATGATAAATGTTTGAATGATTTTGCTTGCTAAACGTGTCAATCCGAGAGCTTAGCGAGGAGTATCATTTTCAATGGAGATGGACTGTGAAAATATAAGATTGCAATTGGTACAATGGATATAAATAACATTGTTTAATCAATGCATACAAAAACATCCAATAGTCAAGCTTATCATTTAGGGTCAAATACTAATTATGGTTCCAAACGTGTTTTTGGCAATATCATTGTTTCTAACACAGTTTGTTGTATATTTCCCTGAGCTGAAAACATTGTTTCAAAAATTATATATGCTTGGTTACAGATTAAACTTAAGTACTATCCATAAATCTCTGAGTAATTTAAATCTTATAAAATTTCAATTTCCTCTTAAAACACCATAACTAATGAAAAAATTTTTATATAAAAAATAACTCAAGCAATTTGAAATAAAATTTAGGATGACACCTTTATTCAAAATCACACAACTCACTGTAAAAAGTACGGTTAAAAAATATTTTCATCATACTGCAGCAAAAACAGCTACATGCGTTACAGGTCTCAAGTAACATTTTTACTCTATAGGGGGTAAAAATTTTCTTTTTTTTATCTCTGAGGAGTAAAGATCAGCTGTTGTAAATTTTGATTGTGGCAATCGTATCGAAATTATTTATCGATTGAATTTTTAGGTAAGGTTTTAGTCTATTGTTCTCGATTGTTCGACGATGGTATAATGTACTGTAAACACAATCGTAATATAGGAAATTATTGAATCAATAAACAGCTGCTTATTTGCATTAGATGAATTGAAAACAAGCTGGAAGTCGTTTTGAGAGGTTATCTATACATAAAAAGTATTTTGTTTTCTAACTTTGTATGTTAATGATGCAATATGACGAAAAATATAGTTCACTACATGGGCAAAAAGAGTCACATTAGGCACTAGTGATGAAATATACTATTTATTACTGAAAAAAAAAATTTGTTCACCTATAGGATAATAGGAGATACTCTCAGTCAGCTGATATTAACACAACATTTTTACCCTTACCCAGGATCAATGTGGAAAATTATAACGATATTGAGGTCTAGTTTACCAACAATCATTAATACTTACTAGTTTACATGTTGCTCGAATTCGAGTAATTGCAAAGTATTACAGGAGTTAATAACAGTCATATTTACAATGAGTGAATCAACTCAAAGATTACCGGTGTGTAACTCACACCATGTTTATATTCGTTATTGACCTAAAGCAATCCGGCCGGTTTTCTCCTTCTCAAAATGCCTCGCTGAGGCAACACAGGTCATTGATAGAGGGCCAATTGAACAACAATTCGTTTTGGGGTAGGACGCATTTGTGACCTAATAGTTAAGATTGTGTAGGGTGTTGACTTTGTTGAGTTAAGCCTATTACGTAACACTGTTCTGTAGCTGTGGTCGTTATCACGCCTCCGGTCTATTTTTCGTTGTCGTGGCGTCGGAAGTATTAAAAAAAACAACAAATAAACAAATTATAGCTACACAAAAAAACGATAAATTCACAAATTTAAGTTACAATCATGCTAACACGATCCGTAATAGCAACACAAAACAATGATAAATATACAAATTTAAGATACAACCAACACGATCCGTCTTTGGGGTTATGTTTACACAAACTCAAATCTATATATATAAAATCCAATGTATGTTTGTATGTATGTTTGTTTGTTTGTCCTTTATGGACTCCGACACCGCTCCACAGATTGGAATAAAACTTTCAGGCATTATTAAGCATTATTCAAAGATGGTTTGTGTAAAGTTTGGATCCGTCAAAAGGGCTCCGCCCCAGTGGCTCTGGTGTTTCCCATGTTAACCTTACGAGTACTCATATTTAAATGGAATTAAAGAATCTTAACAGCTGGTTTAACTAAACAGTTTGATTCTGTGATGTTCAATAGCATAAAAAGTTAATAGGTTTACCAACAGAGTGCAGCACTATTATCTTTTTTTTATTTACGAAAACATCTAATTTGCAACCAAAAGGTGAGTGAGTGTAGCGAACGAACTTCAACATAGAGGCGAGTTAACGTAGCGATCGAGCTAACCTGAAGGTAAGTGAGCACAGCGAACAAGCTCCAACCTAAAGGTGAGTGAGCGTAGCGAACGAACTTCACCTGGGACATGATGGAGCCATGCGAACGAGCTCAAAATGAACGAGCATTTGATATAAAACCACATTAGGACAGGACGACGTCTGTCGGGCCAGCTAGTCGTAAATAAATGTACTTAATGCGTTTCATTGAATTGAAAAATAAATAACAGCAATTATACAGCTGATCAAAATGTAAACAATTATGGTCTTCATAAGGATAACATGGGAACTTTCAAAGCCACTGGGGCAGAGCCCAAAGTACCTTTTATGTAATGCCAGTTTGCGAATCTACGCGACACGCTCTTTCCAATAAGACGTCAATGGATACAATCGGTTAAAAAATTGTGAAGGAGTTCAACCAACAAAGTTTCATGTAGCGTATTCTATAGATTGTAGAGGTTTACGTTACATAGCAATACTTTTGACATTACAACATCACATTAATTGAAACATAACCATAAAAACATAAACGTTCAGAATTTGTAGATGGTTTACTTATTTTTAAAGAAAATATGCATGTATTCAGTGGGAATCTTTATGGATAATTATCTTCAGAGTAATGAGATAAGTAAACAATTTCAACGTAATTTAGTTTAGATACACCTATGATCACACACAAAAACTAGTGTACACCTATGATCAAGTGTTCTCATTGTGAAATTACGTACTCATAATATACTTGTGAGGAAGGCATCCAGTGTCAAGGTCAACGAGGAGACTGCAGACTGGTTTCAAAGCAAGGTCATTCTCCTACCTTGTAACCTAGTGTTGCAGACTGACAGTTTGTTCATCATTATTTTTTTTGTAGCACATCATTTGAAGAATTTTAAATTTTGTCCGATTAGTGAAAGGACAGTAAACAATTAACGCGGATAGAATAGCCTGTTAACACAATCAAGTCTTCACAAGTGCGACTTTCAATGACGAATTACCTTTGAAAACTCAAATCCATGCGTTCAAGGCATGTTTAACTACACTTTAGCACCAAAGAGGGATAACGCAGTATTTTAAACATTTATCACGACAATAGGGAAATAATTGGATCATTAAGATAATTCCAATAAACTCTCTGGCCTAGCGCACAAGTACGTTATCAAAAACTCACTACAATCTAAGGTCCTGTGGGTTGCAATATTTCTTTTTTCTTCTACACAATTTTCACAAAGCCCCTCTTTTGTAACATTAACCCCATCACAGCAAGCCTGCGAATTTGCCATATTTTCACTCAAATATTCCCTCAAAATCTGTATTCGCTATTAAACAAGGTTTTCCAAGAATTGAAAAACATGTTTTTTTATGTATGGTATAATTGGAAAAATCTAATAACAATAAAACAAACTACAGCAGTTTTACTTGTTGTATGCT